ACAATGCTAGGTCCTCATACCACCGAAACAATCGAGTGTAGTGTGTCGTGTTGTACCATAGAGTTGCTGTCAGAACAATGCTCAAGCACGCAAACATCAACTCCCAGGATGGCCACCACAGAATCGTCCTTACATCCTGTTCTGCCTTGACCGGAAGGAACTGCTGCGCAATCGTAAACATCAGTACTGACTTCGCACACACACCTGTGCCAATGGATGTAGAGGTTGCTGAGGTGGTAGTGTTGGGGCTGTCCTCCTGTTCAATCTCAATGGGCCTCTTGTTGATCTCTTCTGCCTCATCATGATTGTGAATCTTGTCTTCTTTTGGCCTTGTCTCGGGAATCTCCAACTTCCTGCTTCTTGAAAGTCTCCGGTAATCGAGGATCAGGACCAAGTGTCCACTTGTTGGAATAGAGCACATCATTCAAATAAGCAAGACCTTTTCTGCGCAATGCCTTCGTCAATGCATCAGCTAGTTGCTGTTCTGAAGGAACCCATCTGCACTCAATGCCTTCATGTAGGCTCTGTCTGACGATTGCTGCCTCCTATGAGAGTCGCCTGTCTGAAAGAAGTACTCTTTCCGACTTCATGCAATCATAGAGCGATCGACAGTCTGTCACTGTAACTCCTGGCACTCGATGCAAATGGTCTTTGTAGTGACGCACGTCTAGCTCTCCATGTAGTACCTCCAGGATAGTTGCACGGAGCCAGCTGAGAGCATCTAATGCCTCAGAGCATGAGTAGGCTTCTGCGCTGAGAGTTGATCTCACCACACGCTGAATCTTTGATGAGGTCCAATGCACAAAATGAATGCGGCGCAAGGAAGTTCTGTCCTTCATCAGTTCCGGTGTGGGAATGCCAAGCCAAAACCCTTTTTGACTCTTGTGACCTGGAAGGTTGTTGAAAGAAGCATCATGCACTGCCACTACAGCAATGTTGTCGGCCTGCCAAGACATGCTCGGTCTGAACACTAGCTCCTCCTCTTTGTGATACTGCTTGACATCACGGAAGCTTTGCGGCGTCTTTGAAATTCTGAGGTCCTTGATCTCACCTGAAATCCGATGGCATAGCCCATGATCCTGCCATACCATTGGAGTTGTCCAAGCAGACCACGAAATGCTTTCGTCTCACTTGAGGTCAAGGTTGCAGTGTTATCCTTCCCTCGTTCACGGCTGACCTTATAGGCGCTCATGTTGTCAATGTACTCTTGCGCATGTACATGAATTGTCCCATCTTCATCTTGATGATATGGTCGGCCGCAAAACTTGAGGGTCCCGTCAGTTCTCCATTGTCCCCAATCCACTTCCTTTTGCATCTTCTCCTGCATGTCTTTGCACTCTTTGGGATACTTCTTCTCATCCCACGCAATGAGCACATCATCAACATGCAGCGCCAAAATGGCAATCACCTCTCTGCTTGTGGGTTCTCTCAACACAAAGCCTGCAAGCTCGAAGGTCAAGCTTTCCCACCCGAGGCGCAAAAGGATACCTTTGATGGAGTGGTACCACTGACGAGCTGCATCATTCACTCCATAGATTGACTTCTTGAGCTTTAGAAGGGATCCAGGTGCAACACCTGGGATCTTGGCCTTTCCAAAATTCTTGGGAGGTTCGAAGTAGAGCTCACGATCAATCTTCAATCCTTGTAGGAAGGCACCACGCACATCTGCTGCAGTGAGTTTCATGAACCTTGAAGCCGCTAGGCTGCAAATCACCTGCGCCAGCAAATTTCAGCATGTGGGAGAATCTTTTCGAAGAGCTTCATCATACTCCTCTTGAAATCCTCTTCCAACCGCTCTACACTTCAACACCAGTTCTTCCTTCTCATTCTCGTCCCTCTTCTCATCGTCCTTCTTGGTCCACACTCCACGTGAAGAGATCACCTTCTCCGGGCTTTTCTTCCTTATCTCATGGCTTTCTTCAGGTGGTATGATGTCAATCGCATCAAATCTCTGCCAAGTGCCAATCTCCTGTTCAACTGCCTTCTGCGTGGACTCATCAATTTCTCTCTCAGAGAACTGCTGCAGCTGACTCTTCATCTTCTGAGGGTTGAGCTCGGTGTGCTTGTTGTGCTTCGTGTATGCGTCAGCTCTCTCAGCTAAAACGGCCACACACATGGCTTCCTTCCTTCTCCTCTGGAGTGATGGAAACTTCCTCACCTTCTGGCGCTGACAATGATCTCTCCTCCAATCGCCTCCTGATCGCGCCGCGAATGATTCTGGGACATCATCAAGAAGTGCATCTCGCTTCCTCTTGCGCTCATCATCCTTTGATGCCATAGATGAAAGACTTGGACCTTCACTTTGAGGAACAGATTGTTCCTCAACATTCTGTTGATTTTGAGGATCTTCCAACTTCTTCTTTCGTCTCCTCCTCTTCTTGCTTGGGCTTTCCACTTTTCCACTGGCTTCTTAGGTCTTCGAAGTCCTTTCATCTTTTCATTGTCATCTTCATCAGCTGCCTCGGTCGTCTCCTCTTCCCTTCTTCTTTTCTCCTCTCTATATCCAATCTCCTCATTTCTCGCACTTCACGAGACTCATCTCCACTTGAGGTGCATTCATCTTGATAGGTTGCAGCCAACTCTTCTGCATGGATCTGTTTCACCTGCACCGGGTGGTTCGGAGGGCTCATACTCTGCCACGTTCTCACGATCCTCCTCCAAATCGATTGGATTCTGAGCCTTTGAGAGGTCAAGGAAACCTTGTTGTCCGGTCTTGGGCAGCATTGTATCCACCAAGCTCTCGCAATTGAGGGAATCCAAGCAAAAGTGGAACATCTGAGTTTGGAAGACGATCAAGTGCAACTCTTCCTTTCTGTCCAGCAATGTTGATGTCAATCCACTGTTGGTGTTGCACAACTACCGGTGCATCAGCATTGACACCTTTCAACACTTTGTTGGATTGCTGGAGGGATGTCTCACTTTCGAACTTCCCAATGAACTTGTCCAATGTTCTGTCGCCTCCGCAACCGATCAAAGCTGCTGTGTCCACAACACACATTCCAGCAGGAACCGTCTCGCGACTTGCATTGGCCATGAAGGTCAGGCAGTGCGGAATGGATGATGTCTCAACATCTTGTGTCATGAATGCATCCACGTTCAACCAAGGAACCTTCATCTCGTCCAACTCATCGTTCACCATATATGAAGGCATCTCAAAGGCTTGAGGCTCGCACTCATCTTCCATCATTCCCAAACACATCAAGGCATCCTGACATGAGGACATCAGTTGACCTGACGCTGAAGCCAGCATGGCAGCAGCCATACCTGCTCGTTGGAGAAACCCTCCTTTGCGACCTCCTTTCTTTCTCTTCTTGCCGCCTTTTGAGCTTCCGGGTGATGAACTTGAGCTCTTCGAACATGTTTTGTCACCACGCCAATGCCCCTTCTGTCCACAATCATAGCATTGCGTCCTTGCTTTGATCTGCTGCAGCTTGTCCTGTAGTTGACCAGCGTTGAGGGTCAGCTTTCCATCCAGGGCAATGGCTGTCCGATTGCGTCCAATCGCATTGGGCTGAATTGACCTTGCCATCGCGGACCGGTTGTCGTTTTCGAGCGTATTCCGAAGCTCCTTTGCCCATCTTCTGAATGGTAGCTGCAAAGACATCCAGCTCATCAAATGAGAGGTCCTCCACTGTCGTGACCTCGATGGCATGCTCCATCTCCTCGATGTCGTATTGGATATCTTCCTCAACCTCATAGACAGGAATGTCATCCTCCACCTGTTCTTCTTGCCAGTCTTCAACTGCATAGATCTCGTCATTCTCACCTTCATAGCTCGACCATTCCTCCTCGATCGGGAATGCCCATGAGCGCTGGCCACCTGGATTGTAATTGCTCTGCTGTCGTGACTTGTAACTGCTCTTCCAACCTTTGCCTTGTGGCTCTTCACCTCCATCCAACTGAATGAGCATTGATTGCTTCAACAATCTTGTCCCAATCATACTCATTACCAGCTTGTCCAAGGATGGCCCGATGTTGTGAAGGGCTTACACCTGCGTTGCGAAGCAGAAAAAAAGGCTTGAAGATCTGTCGACAGCTTTGTATGGCCTTGGGTCAATGCGGAAAGCTTCTCATATTCACCTTCTCTCCGACTGATGTAATCTTGAATGCTTTCACCCAGCTTCCGGCGTCCCTTGTCGAAGAAGTAGTCCTCGAAGGTCTGGGTCTTCAAGAGCGGCGCCACCTTTTCACACGCTGACCTAACTGTCTTCACAACCAACTGAACTGCAGCCTTAGGTCCAGCATTGGCTGAGGGTTCAGCTTCACTGACTTGCAACAGCTTCTGGGCGGCAATCTCCGGCCTTCGATGGCACAAAGTCCACGCTCTTCCATGTAAAGCATTCTTCAACTTTGCAGCGTAGCTTGCTTTCTCTTCTTTCTGCACCGTTTGGAGTCCCAGCCATACACGTTCTTCATACTCTTCTGCCAGCTTGGGGCTTCCATCATAGCGCACCACGTTGGACTTCGTGCCCACATACAATGAATTGCTCTGCTGCGACTGCATGAAACAACATGTCAACAAATCCGTGCAAAAATCTGTGAAACTGCGGGGACAAAATCTGCAAAAACTTGAATTCCAATGGTACCTTGCTAAGTGTCAAGTACACCAATACTCGCGATACGAAATCCGGTATACTGGTGTCCAGCCACCTAGCCAGCCTTCAACCAACAAAGTCCAAGCGCTGTACGGCCACAGACAATGTCCAGCTTCTGCTTGCGGCGGGGTCACAGGCAACCTATGGCGACCTACCGAAGCTAAGGCTCCGCTACCAGTGTCAAGTGCACTAAAGCCTAAGCGCGCGGTTTTCCACCGCACACCGGATAGGCTCAAGGCCTAGTGGGGTTCGAGCCGTTATGGCCCGCGAAGCGTACCATTTTGGTATAACTGCATGGATTAGACATGAGACAAATGCTTTCATAGCCTTGGAACTTCACAGTATGTATGTACAGAAATACGTCCTTTGTAATCATCTGTTTTGCAAACGTCAGCACTTCTGTGCCTGCGGCTGCAGCCTCCTCTGTGAAGTTCAGCAGCAAGCGCAACTGGGAATGAGCAGCCTGCACCAAGTCCGATGGATATCGAGAGAGAAGGAGTGAGCTAAGAGATAATCTATATAAATACCAATAAGCATCTTTAGAAACATCTAAAGAAACACACCAACTTGGGAGATGGAAAAACTAGCACCGCAAACGCAGAACCATGAAGCCAAGCACTGCAAGCGCATGACTCCAGCAACAGCAAACTGCTCCTCGATGTCGGAGAGCATAGAAACCACACGAAGCCTTCACAGCCACGGCCGATGCAAACGCTGTCTTTCAGGACTTTGCAAATTCAGCGGAAGGTGAACGAGCTTAATGAGCTCCGGTCAAGGCATTGGGAGGCAAAACAAAAAAAAAATTATAAAATCCAACTGATGCAAAGTTGGATAGCAGAACGGAGGGTGCAAGAAGAAACAAAATCAATTAATAAATAAGAAAGTAAAAAAGAATATATATATATGTTAACCGTATTGTTGAACGCCTTTGCCACAACTCAAAAGATGATGCAACAAGGGCACTAACCACCATGCAGGAGCAAGCACTGTCTGCAGTGTCCCTGCAGCTCCTTCTTAGGAAGAGGTCTGATGTTGCAATTGATTCCTGCCAGGCGCGTTGCGCGCTCCTCTGGCTCCTCTTGAAATTCAGCCTTGCGACTGGTCCTTACCCTCATTCGCAAGAAGTGGTACGACCTTAGCAGCAGACCACAAGCCGTGATTTAACAAACTGGTCACATCTATTGTCAGAAAGCATGTCACTCTTGCAGTGCATGCATGATTTGAAATGCCACATACACAGCTGTGATCGTCCTGAGATCATCACCTTGTAGAAGGATTGGCTCCTTGGACTCGAATTGATTCCTGTGAAAACTGAATCCAGTTATTTATTCATCTTTTTTGAATCGAAACAACATAGCCAAAATTGAATTTTCAATGCCCACTGCACGTGTGAAAACCCTACGTGACCAAATGTACTTCAAACTCAGCCACTGGCAAGGCTTCCAAAGACTCAGTAGGAGGCTCAGGCCTCATGCCAAGAGATGAAGCAAGCCAATCGAACTGTCAGCTTGACATCTTCAAGCCCAAGCAAGCTCTTTGCTTCAAAGCAAAATGACATGACAACTGAAAGGCTTTGCGTGCTGAGAAATGTGCTTGGCCAGCTCACGCTCAATTGCCTTTAACCTTGAGTCGACATGAATTACGCCAGTAGCAAAGGTTATTTGTGGGCGGCAGCAGCAGCGCCCTGCAGCGGCGCCAGCCACGCCACTGCCATCTGGCAGCAACACCCTCCAGCGGCGGCACGCTGCAGCGGGCCCAGCACTCAAGCTCCAAAGCACACACAACCATGGACATCTGGCAGCAGCACCCTGCACCTGCACTCTCCAAGCACACACACACACAAGCACCTCTTCCTAAACTTGAAGTAGGAACCCCCCAATAGCTCTCGCTGTCTGTGGAAAAACATTTCTGCCCGGAGTCATCCATGCAACAGCTGTTCAATCGGTTCACGCACTTCTGCAAAGGAAGCTAAGATAGAATGAAAGCTCAGCTCAGGCAAATGTATTCACCACACAGTTGCACAAATACTAGTGCCTACGATGCAAACGAATAGTTGTTTACTGGTACGGACACCGGGGGAATAATTCATGGTTCGATACAGAATGTACTAATAGCTGCATAAGGCTACAAATTCTAAGAACTACACAAAGTAGGGAAAAAGAACAATACAACTAACAATAGAAAAGTGTCGAATTTGATGAGGAAAAGCAAGAACGATTCATAGATACAGCAAAAGAAGTAAAGAAACGGGAGAAATGTGCGGAAAGGAACAATAGAAAACGAAAAAGGTCAATCAAAATATGCCAAGAAATGTAGACACAAGTGCCGAAATGAAAAAATAGAGAGAGAATGAGAAAGGAACTAAGCAAAAAATACCCAACCGCTCTTTGCTTTCTTCCTCTGGGCGTTCTTCATCGTCCATTGGAAGCAGCTTGAACAACACAACAACACTACAGAAACTAGGTTCTTCAGTGTGCATTCAACTAAGCACTTCACCACGTGAAGCCTTCGCGCGCCATGCTCTTGGTCACCTATGCAGGACTTTGACCTTCAAATACTGCATGTTCCGCTTTTACAAAGGAATGGACATACAAACAAATAGATGTGTAGTTTTACAAAAGTTGCATAATGTAAAGCATATTGCTTTGCGCTCTCAAAAGTGTCCTTTGCTGCTTTCGCGTGCGCCTTACTCAGTGGCACGGTCACAGCATCATAACCTCGATTCAATCCAATGAGGAGATGATAGGTCCAACGGATCCAAGTACTTGGACGGAAGCCAAAGCAAGAAGGCGGTGTGCGTATTTGCTGTACATTGTGCTCTGCAATGCTCCCTAGCCAGGGGTCCCGACCACCAGCAAAAGCCCATCTCTGCAATTCATCCAAGTTTGCCACTTGTTGAAGAAGGTCTAGAACCTGCCCGTGTTCACTGGACTCACAATCATCTACAGGTGTCTAACCTAAAGCTTCATCACTTGCCAATACCGACCTCCTCCGATGCATCTGAAAAGGTGCATGCACTCCTGGCAAGTTCTGCTACAGTCTTTTCAGCTACAGTCCAGTGCAAACGAGCTGAGAGTGTTGCAACGAGTGAAATGATACGCCCAAAACACAAACCCAAGCTGTTGAGTCCCTTAGCGCCTCTTGTTTTGCTCCTTTGCCTCAACCTAGCGCAAAGTATTGTTCAGTGTTCTTCTGCCTATTGTCGCAAGAAGCTGGACGAAACTAGTCTTTGAACATTTTGCGAGCTTGCGTCCAGAACTTTCAACAATTCTTCTATCCCCACCTCTCGTGCCAAAAGCGCTTAGGACACGTACGCAGCTGGGATGTTTGGGGTGGTTGATCTGCTCGGTGCTCGGACACTCCTCTATCACTAAAAACTGCTGACGACCCCCAGCCTTTTCTGCGCAACTACATCAACTACCACTGCATCACTCGACAGTAAATTTACCCAACTGTAAATGGACTGAAAGGTCTTGAGTTCAAAGTCCGGCCGTCACTCTTGATCCCTTGTGTCTGGACTGGTGTCTGCATCTTTGCGTCTGGCAGTCTTCCTGCTGCTTGTGAATCCCCGGTTTGCCCTCTGCTGGAAGCAAATCTCCCAACAAAGGATCGTTTCGAATGCTGCTGCTAGCTTGTTGTCAAAGCCTTTGGTTACCCTTAGACTTTCCGGATTCCGCGAACTCAACTTGATTCTCTATATTCTATATGATTTCCGGCTAAGACCTGGTTTTGAGCTATTGAAAACGCCCTAGAAGCTCGGACGGTGCTGATGTTGCACAAATAGAATGCGCACATCAGCGTCGCCATACATCGCCTGTTTCAACAACTTTGAGACTGCGGCCTTCGCTTTTGGCGAAGGTCTGCCTTTCACAGCCTCAAAGCAATCTAGCGCCAAGAAGAAAAAGCAAGTTTCGCTTGCTCTTCATGCGCTTGGAGGTACGAGCTTTGGCCTTGGGTGATGTGCTCTCTTTTGCAGCCTCATGTCATCTCAAGTGCGTAAGTGCTCACGATTGAATACACTGTGCTCGATCCAACGAACCGAAACTGCAGTCTTTACCTTGATGTACGTGTGATAAATATATATATATATTGAGATATTGTGAATTTCGAACCTTTCGGTCACTGAGGAACCAGTCTTGACCCACTCAGGTGTGTTCACGTCCGAAGCCACGAGTGTGCGAGGCCGCAAGGGTGGTGTAGGGTGGGTCACCCGTGACCTGAGCCATAGAAGCAGTGAGGACACTGCAGGGCGAGGCGCCCGACCGTTCGTACCAACCTTCAGGTGAGCTGTGAGTGGAAAACGCACGCGGCTGTGCGAGGGGAGGAGGATCTTTTGTTGCTACCTTTGTGCCAATCACATTGGTAGCGGAGCTACCGCTAAAGCTCCAGACAACACCTGACCCTTGTGCTTGGTTGTTGTTGACTGCGTGGTTGAGTCGGTGAATACGTTGTTTGGCCGCAAGGCAGTCGACAGGTTGCACATTGTCTTGGTGGTGTTGTCACAGAGTTGTTGAGCTGCGGTTTCCAGGGAGGAAACAGCCCAATGCCACCGGAAGGTGATTCAGCTGGCTTCAGTTCCTCCACAGGAGGTTTGAGCAATCTCCCATGGAGCCAGGTTCCATCTTTCAAGCCTGGTGAGACGGACCTCACTGAATGGTCACGGAAAGTAGAGTTCCTGGCATCACTATGGCCTCCAGAGCAACTACACCTGCTTGCCCCACGAGTTGCATTGCAATGTGAGGGATCAGCCTTTCAGAGAGTTGCCAGACTGGACCCAAAGAAGCTGCGTGTTGGAAACTTGGAGGGAGTGAAGGCCATCGTGGAGGCCCTTGGAGGGATTTGGGGAAAATCCCGATTGGAGGACAAGTTTGAAAGGTTTGAGCGTGCAATCTACAGCACAGTCCAAAGAGCCGACGAGACCCATGAGAGCTATCTAGCTCGGCGCGATCATCAATTCGAAGAGTTGCTGAGCATGAAGGTCGGCATGGATGAGTTTCGTGCATACATCTTGCTTCGCAACTCAGCCCTGAGCTCAGAAGACAAGAAGAGACTGATTGTTGAATCGCAGGGTTCACTGGAGTACAGAGAGGTGGTATCCAATCTGAAGCTCCTGCGGAGTCGATTCTTCCATGAGGTCCACTCCAGCGGAAAGCAGAACAATCCAAGGACCAAAACCTATGAGGCCAATGCGTTCATTGCCCAAGAAGCTGATGGTCACGACCAAGCGCCCGACGAGCCCACCTACAATCTCGATGATTGGACCGAGGAAGAATGGATTGAGAGTCTTGCAAATGATGGTGACGAGGACGCCGCCATGATCATGGAGTATGAATCCACACTGTTGGACGCAGTGCAAGACAACGAAGATCTAGCATTGACACAATCATCATACATGGATGCCCGTCGCCGCCTGTCAGAGCGCTTCAAAAGACGTGGGTTCTGGCCAACAAGTCAGAACAAAGGCAAAGGAAAAGGGAAAGGGGGTGAAAAAGGAAAGCGATCCCCCTACTCCTCAAAGTTTTCTGGCAATAGAAAGAGCCTCCAGCAGAGGATCATGGAGAGCAGCTGCAGGATTTGTGGCCGAAAAGGCCATTGGAAGGCTGAATGCCCGCAACGTGGATCTCAGTCGGCCCCATCGACAGCTGTTGCTCCTACACTGGTGACAGTGAATGATGAGCAGGACGCGCTGCCACTGGAGTTCATGGATTTGCCAGAGCTGACCAAAGAGACGCTCAACGCCACTCAAGAGAATACGAAACAAGTTTTGTGTGTTTGTGAATCAAGGGACACCGGTGTTCTGAGGGGTTTGTGGGAGACCAATGAAGGGGAAATCATTGATTTAGCCCACAAAGGGGAAATGATCACCGAGTGTGAGAATTTTGATGTCAGGACTAGCTTGCCAGAGAGTGCGTTTGCTAGCACCGCCCAATCACCTAAAGCCAAGTCGATGCATGACACCGAAGCCAGTGCATTCTCGAGCTTTTCAACTCGCGATGCCCTGGGAATCGTAGATACAGGTGCTACTAAGACCGTCATAGGAAGCGGTTTCGTAGCCAATCTCCTAGCCGCACTAAGGCCAGAGGTTCGGAAGCAGGTCCAAAGGTGTCGTTGTTCAGTGGTTTTTCGGTTTGGGAATCAAGGGACACTTGAAAGCAAGCATGCGCTCGTTGTCCCAATCGGACCGCTGAAGCTCAAGATTGCCATAGTGCCAGGCCATACACCTTTCCTGCTGTCGAATACTCTGCTCCGAGCCATCGGAGCCACCGTAGATATAGCTGGTGAAGTGATCAAAAGCACTCTCTTGAAGCGCAATATTCCAATTCAGCTGAATGTCAAGGGTTTACTTTTAGTTGATCTAAATGATCTGATCACACCCACCAGTCAAGATGCCGAAGCTGAACCTGCCGAGACCTTCGCCACTTTGAATTGCAAAAGCTTGCCAAGTGTCTCTGTCCAGAAGCCTGGACAAGTGCAGTCGGAAACCAAGACCATGATGAAACAGAACGTTCAGGTGAGGACAGGTCTTGTAACAAGCAGAATCCAACAGTTCGAAGCCGCCATGCCCGAATCAACAAAGACCCATACGAACACAAAGAAACCAAACGAACGTCCGAGTGTTCGCGGGGGTGAGAAAGTCTCATTCGAATCGGTTCCAGGGGGGGTCCAGCCCGGTGTCATCCGTTTTGGGTTCAAGACCGGATCTGTGCAATCACACACGTGTGATCATCCCATTCGGTCACCTGCGCCGCATCACTATCATGCCGACCTCCGAAGCAGCCGCTCTGAGTGCCCGCTTGGCACGTGTCATGGGGGAAGCAAAGAAGAAGCCCTCGATCAGCTCGAAGCCTTCAAGCTCCTATCACTGGACGAAATGGGCCAAGCCAAGATCGATTTCGGATCAGCCCATCTCGGTCGGACCTACTCGGAGATATGGGAAAAGGAGGGCAAGTATGTGAAGTGGTTCCAGGCAAGTTATCACTCGTCGAACAAGGTCAACCATCAGAAGTTCATCCACTACATCTCACTGAGGGTGACCTATGCCGAGCACCAACTGGGTCTGAACAGTCAAGACCTGCAGCCATCACCAAGTCAGAGGCCACTTCATCCGGCTCTCAAGAGCAAGGCCAAGGCCAAGCCGATTCAGGAAGTGACCCCGCTTGCCGAGGACGAATCCTGGGAACCAGTTCAGGAGATCGAGATCCAGCCAGAGATCTACACGGAGATGGCAGCCATGGACACCCGCCTTCAGACCATCGAAGGTGCGATGCAGGAGATCATTGCCCACCTCCGGGCTTCATGAGCTCGTCATGGCTAGACTCCTTCGAGGAAGCTGATATACATGTATCGTCCATGTGCCAAAAAGATGTCAGTCCAGGTAAGACTCACAGCCTGTCCCATAAATTCCATGCACTGGTTCAGCAAATCTCAAAGGAAGCCAGTCTAGCAAGGTGTGATCCAGTGATCTCGAACGGATGCAGCCGTCTACATTCGCTGGAAGTGTTTTGTCATGAGGCCAGTGAACTGACGAAGCAAGTCCAACTGCTGGGCGGCAGAGCAACCGTTTTGGAAGGGCGCAGGGCGACCTCAAAACCAAGGAGGGGAGAAGTGTTCTGTTTCAAATGGTGTGGAAACAAAGACCCCGTCACATATGGTTCAGTCCCACCTGTGGACCATGGAGCGCATGGAACACGTTCAATGAAATGAGATCAATCCAATTGTGTGAACATGTTCAACGAGAGAGAGAGAGTCACACTTGTTCGAACTTGCACTAGGAGTAGTCTTGCTTCGCATGTCACGTCAGCTAGGAAACCACATGCACTGGGAGCAGCCACGAAAATCCATCATGTTCAAGACCCCACTCCTGCAAGAGCTGTATTCATATACTCAGGAAGCCAATTTCGACATGTGTCGCGTAGGCCAGTTGACATGTCCAGAAACGAACAAACTCATACAAAAGGAGATGGCTGTAAGAACGACATCGCAAGAGATGTATGCCTCGTTGCATGGCCGGGTGTGTCGTCGAGATCATGAGCACAGACCCATTGCCGGATCCGTGACAACGCCTCTCGGGAGAATCACCGTCAGTAGCTATACAGAGAACTATCCAAGAAAGTTTGCAAGACAAGTAGCTAAGGTGATGTTGAAAGTGAAACATGAGCCATGGGTTACTCCCCTTGTAACCAGAGGAATAGATCAACCGAGTGAGGAAAGTGCATCCAAGCGGATCCGTGTGAGTTCTCCCATGCAGAAGTCCCAAGGTGGGCGACTGCCACCAACACCCCTGGAGCAATTCTCGAACGAGTGCAAGCGCCGCCGCATTGACGGCAAGGCGGCCGAATCGCAGAGTATGAACATGTCACCTCAGAGACAACTAGAAGAAATCATCAAGGACATCCAACCAATGTTGCCAAGAGTAGGGAAGACTTTTATCACAAACCACCAAATTTTGGAGAGGCTTCAAAACATGTTGCCCGAATAAGAAATCAAGAAAGTTCAAGCATGTAAGGGATCAGATCGAACATTGCCACCGCCAAGGGATTTGGTAAAGAATGAGGCCCCATATCGTCGTGCCATCATCGTAAGCCGAATAGGGGGGGTAATCCAAGTAGAAAAGGACTGGGAATACTGGCAAGACCTGTCTCATCGGCAGCAAGTCCGCCCAGCGCATCCCGCAAGAGTCAATATCACAATGTATGCATGTTTGCCCCAATCCAAGTCAGAAGCATCAGGTGATTCGACCGAACAGAATATGAGTCCCGAGGCAACGGGAACAAGCATCGAGCCGCAGGAGGCAACCGTCAGCCTGCCAAGTAGTGACCAAGCACCTGTCACAGAGCTGGATCCGGATCAGACCAAAGAGACAGGAGCGAGTTCGAGTCAACTCCATATGCCGAGCTTTGACCATGGCCCAAAGTTCAAGACCATATCAGCCGAAGAAAAATCGTTCTTGCTGAAATTGCATCAGAACCTAGGACAC